ATACACGTTTATAGTAATTTCCAACAATGTGCGCAAGCTTGTATTGGAAGTCACGTACATTTTGAAGTGCTTATTCATTTCTTCGCTTCTCTAAGTCGATGACATACCTACTGTGAATGCATCTGCTGTGTATGCATCAATCTATTGCTTTCGACGTCTGTACAATCTATTGACTCATTCATTCTGTTGAAGATCATATTTCTCAATAAGATATTTCCATTCTGACTCAAAGTCTTCCTCAGTTTGGCTCATTATACAATTTTTGAATATTTCTGGGAAAGTTGGACTCCTTCGTAAGACATGGCATACTTTTTTTTCGACCTTTGAATGTATGTGCCACCTACAATAATGATGTTTGCTTTTATTCATAACTTGTCTCAATGTAGCGGTCATTGCAAGATCCTGATTGGTGATAATTACTCTGAGTTGACGTCCACCCATTGCCTCTAACCAATTTTCAAATACCCATACAAAAGATTTCACTTTCTCATCAAATATAAGGGCAAACCCAAAAAATCTTGCACTAAGGTGGCACTAAGGTGGTGATTCACTCCAAGTATGAGAGCAAAGGGTATGCCAAAAGCATTTGTCTTATATGTGGTATCAAAGGTGACCACATCCGAGAAGTGATGGTAGAACACCCTTGACAAGGCATCTACCTATAGTAGGCTGACAATGTGATCTTCTTCATCTAATTTCACTTAATAGAAAAAAGATGAATTGGATCTCTTCATATCGATTAACCATTCCATCGCACGATTGCTATCTTCCCCTTAGAATTTTCTTCTATTGATTCCTAATTGGTTTTCGATGTCTTTTTGTGAGCAAGGGAGATTATCAATCCCTCCAGCATGCTCTAAAAATATATCATAGATGTTTCGAGATTTTACCAAAGCAGAGCTCATGAAGTTTATCATTGTCTTTGTCGCATCCAATATTGTTCTGTGTAATCAGATGAGTCGAGCTTTATGTGGAGATACAGGTAAGTGATTGTGATCCTGAACAAACTTTGTGACAACCCACTCATTGTTGGCATTTATGCTTATGCACATCTTTGCATCACTTCCACAGCTTGTCTCAGGGAAAATTTTTCTAGGTTGCTCTTGTTTCACCCTACGGAATCCTTCTTTAGAACATTTATATTCCCTATCAATTCTCTTTCCGTCCTTATTCGTGTGAGTACTTCCCTTTCTGATACCAAACCCTTCCACCAATGCAAAAGCCTTGTAAAATTCATATGCATCATTTTCATCACTGAATTTCATTCTTATACGGGGTTCCTCTATTTCAGACCCCTTGGACGACAACGCATGTTCCCCATTTTCAGGATTTGTGAACTTATTGGGGTACGGGGTTGCAAGCAAGGGATCTTGCTCCATGAACTCTACAGTATCTCCCATGTTGTCATTCTCTGACCATGTGGGAGATGCCACACTTTTTAAAATTGTGTGGTCCATCTCAGGCGCTAAAATTACCCTACACAAATCCCGAAATCTTTGTCAATTAATGACTTCAATACTTCATATATTTTTTAAAAAATGATTTTACAATTTCCATTTCTATTCTCTTGCAACATCAACTCTACTGTGTTTGAACCATTAAGAAACCAAAAAGCTTGATGAATGAAAGGAAACAAACCTAATGAAAAAAAATCAATCTCTTAACAAAGCAACATCAATGGATGCCATTCAACAATTCTTTTTTTAAAAAAAATCTCCAAGTTATGACTTCACATAGCAACATCAATTCCGCCTGTTTGAACCATTAACAAACCAATATTCTTGATGATTGAAAGGGAGCAAAACTAGTGAAGATAAAGCAATCACTTAACAGAGCAACATTAATGGATGTCATTCGAGTACTAAAATTTTATTTTATTTTCCAAATTATGACTTCACATAGCAATATCAATTCCACCCTGTTTGGACCATTGACAAACCAAAATGCTTGATGATTGAAATGAAACAAACTTAATGAATATAAAGCAATCACTTAACAGAGCAACATCAATAGATGCCATTCGACACTTTAACAAAAAAAAAAAATTCTAATGAAAGAAAAGTAATCACTTAACAGAGCAACATTAATGGATGCCATTCGAGTATCATCAATTCCACCCTGTTTGAACCATTGACAAACCAAAAAGCTTGATGATTGAAAGGAAACAAAACTAATGAACATAAAGCAATCACTTAACAGAGCAACATCAATGTAACATAGCAACATCAATGGATGCCATTCAACAATATTTTTTAAAAAAATCTCCAAATTATGACTTCACATAACAACATCAATGGATGCCATTCAACAATTTTTTTTAAAAAAATCTCCAAATTATGACTTCACAGAGCAACATCAATGGATGCCATTCAACATTTTTTTTAAAAAAAATCTTGAAAATATGACTTCACAGAGCAACATCATTTCCACTATTTTTGAACCATTAACAAACCAAAATGCTTGATGATTGAAAGGAAACAAACTTAATGAAAAAAAATCAATCACTTAACAGCGTAACATCAATGGATGCCATTCGACAATTTTTTTTTAAAAAAAATTCCAAATTATGACTTCACATAGCAACATCAATTCCACCCTATTTGAACCATTAACAAACCAAAAAGCTTGATGATTGAAAGTAAACAAACCTAATGGAAAAAAATCAATCACTTAACAAAGCGACATCAATGGATGCCATTCGACAATTCAAAAAAAAAAATATATCTCCAAATTATGACTTCACAGAGCATCATCAATTCCACGCTAATTGAACCATTAAGAAACCAAATAGCTTCATACAAAGCTATTATGTGAAGTTAAAAAAAAAGCCCTAAATTGACAAACCTATAAGCAATGAAGAAAAAGCCATAATCTGTGAAATCATAAAATGAAACTAATTTGGCTTTAATCCATACCTTCGTTATGCTCTGTGGAGAGAGAGAGAGAGAGAGGTGCCCTGTTTTCATTGTCTCGTTGCCCAAATCAGAGAGAGAAAGATAGGTTTCGCAGTAGAGGAAGAGAGCCTCCTTCTGCATGAAAGAGTTTTACTGAGTTGAGAGATAGGGGTTTCGACAGAGGAGTTTTACTGAGATAAGAGGGAGGGATTTCGGCAGAGGAGTTCCATTGAGATGAGAGAGTGCAAAGGAGAGAGGGTGAGATGAGCGAGATATGGTTTTCGCAGTGCTTGTTGGGTTGTTGATACTCGTAGTAGAGAAAGAGGGAGAGAGCGGGTTTCACATTAGAGAGAGGTTTCATAGCTTGTTGGGTTGTTGATACTCGTAGTAGAGAGAGAGAGGGAGAGAAAGGGTTTCGCAGAAAAGAGAGAGAGGTTACGTTTCCCTATGGGTTGTTGATGCTCGCAGTAGAGAGAGTGGGAGAGAGAGAATTCACAGGAGAGAGAGCATCCTCTCTGGTATGGTCAGGATGCTCTGACAAAAGGGTTTTCAAAATTTGAAAACGACAACTCTCCAACAACTGTCCATTGCTCACGAATTGATATGAGCCATTCGGCTCACAGATTTTCTATAGGCGAGCTGGCTCACCAAATCTTTTTCCATATATATATATATATATATAGGAAAAAGTTGGGATTAGCTCATATGAACATATGAGCTCGACGGTCTAGATTAAATCTGGGCCGATCTGACAATCACGGATGTTTGGTAATGCTTGAATTTTATTTATTTTTCTACAATTC